TTTCCCTACGGGACGCCTGAGGTAAGTTTAAGATTAGACATTAGTCTTCTAGAATAAAAGAGAATCTGTAGCAGGTGCTGAACAGACCAGTTCAATTAACATGAACTGAAGACTTTCCATAGCAGTGGGAGATACCGTATCAGCTTCTTTTATGGTGCAAATGTCAATATTCACACTGATTAACTTTTAAGATGCAACTTCCTGAAATCACTTTGCAGTATTCTCTGTAGCTTCTAGGAATTAATCAACTAGAGGACATGCATATGTTTTGCCTTATGTTCATATTATGGAAGAGAAACTTACATACTATATGGTCCTTATAAAAGTCAAATACTTCTGTAATGCATGGTTTTGTAATATAACGCTAAGCTTTATAATATTGTTGCCTTACCTGATGCGACAGAAAAAAGACTTCTCTTCCATGCAATCCTGGGTGGAAGACTCTAGAAATATGAAACATATTTCATAAATATAATCTCACAGAAATGTGCAACTTCTTAAAAGAAGAATTTTTCCTTAAATGATAAAGGCTGAATTCTTTAAAAAGTTTATGTACCCTATGTCTCTGTATGTATGTGCTAAACAATGTACTTCATAAGCAACTACATCTGTATACCACTCAGATTCTAAGGCTGGCATGTGAATCACAGCTTATTAAGGCTTATTAAGCCTTTTACCAAACCACATCTAAACAGTTCTCCAGTTTGAGCTGTTTACTCTTACCAGCTTTTCCACTGTACATTATAGTGTTGACCAAAAATATTTGATTATCTGGGACCCCAAAGTCTAGGAAAAGTGTCAGACAGGCACTAGGACAGCTAGATCATCAAATCTACTTCCCATCAGCCCTCCCTCCAAAAATAAGAGTATTTTTCATGAAGACTTCCTCTCACCTCTTAAATCTATTTCCCTCCTTTTCTACAGTAGCCATAGACTGATTTTCAAGGCAAGCTCTGGTCTTACAAAGGCCTCAGTGCACAATACTTTTGGATATTATACTCTGTGTCAGCTGACATATGGGATGGTGTGCATTATCCACTTAATGCATTTTTGAAATTTGAAGCTATACACAAACATAATAAAGCTACAGAAAATGTCTTTTAAAAATTGTATAACTGAATAATATCTGTAATCAGGATCACATGGTCACAATTCACCATTGACCCTCTTTTGAGCCAGAGGTTGGACAAGAGATCTCACAAGGTCCCTTCTGACTTGCTTTACATATGCATTACTTAGTGTATGTTTATTGCTAATTGTTTCTCCAGATTAAACACAATTCACACTCTGACTTAATAGACTTAGTATACAATGGACTCTAATTTCAAACATTTAAAGCAGACCTTGAATTTCAAGTGTTTGGTTAAAACAGTTGGCAGCTATTTCTCAATTCCTAACAGCTGTAGCTACACGAGCGAAACAGTCCTCCCACGAACAAATATCAAGTGCCCTAAGACATCTGATCCTTCATCATTAGCATGCCTAACAACATTTTTTTTTTTTAAGGCTAAAAGAATAGAGATATGATTACACTTGGCGAATGCACAGTGATGGTACCTGAAGTACATCTTTCTACACTGTAATCAAGGTGTCCAGTATTCAAATCGTAACCATTTTAAAAGGAAGGAGGCAGATTATCCCCCTTGTATCTGAAGAAAAGAAATTTTAAAGAAAAACTGTGGTCATTTGATTGCTAGTAAAAGTGGAAAACAAATCCACTCTTCAGCACAAATACCTACTTTGTTTTCATTCATCATTTGGATGAAAGGGGCATGAGAAACAACGACATTCAGAAGACTTTAAGCCAATAGACAAGCCTTGCTGAGTTTATAAGGAGTGTGTTATACATCTAGTATTTTTCAGAGATGTTCTAATAATGCATCTGTGTTATACCCTCAAAGAGTATGGAAGAATATTAGAAATCAATTCCAGTATTTGCATTTGCATGACAAAGAAGGTCAGAGAGTATCTGCTGTTGACACCACTCACCAGCTCTATTGCAAATATTCCATGATGGTAATCTGTATGGGGTAGTAGAAGTATAGAACACACTGACATCCTGAGGTGCCAAGAACTCCACAAATTTGGCATTTTTAAAATAACCCCTCTTACAGCGGAGAATAGAAGCAGCTTGATCAGAGATGTACAAAATTTTCCCAGTTATCAAAGAAACAGCTACAGCAAACATATCCTAAGAACAAAAATCTCAGATTATTTAGACAGTTTAAAACATTCTTCAATCCAGTATGTATTTCTTAGAAAAAACACTTCAGACATAAAAGCATGAACAAGTTCAAAACAAAAATTAAGGAAATAGTATTATACCACATCTGTTTAGGGAGCAATAAAATAAAATTAATCTGCTTATGAAGTAGACACAGACAGTATATTTGTTGAACCATGCAATAAGAATAATACACTAGCCTCTTAATGGGTTACAAGCCCTAAATATCATGGCCTAAAATTTTATGATGCAGAATGAATTTATGAATTAAGAATTAAAGAGCTTCCAGCTATTAAAACTGCACATTGTCCTTGTGGTTGTTACAGGCATATTTTACATTTACAAAGTTCAAGTGTTTTGTGAAAGGCTGTTTATGTTAGCTTGTCCATCCACTGCAAAATGAAAAAAACATGCTCTAAACATTTATACTAATAAAACGTAATAGTAAACATAAAATAATGAGTAAACAGGTGGGAAAAAAGTCCCACACAGCCATACACACACTCCACTTGTATCATTTCACATTGGTTGTCTTCTCAACACAGAAGAGCTTCCTACATCACAACCTTTAGTGCTCTATCCGCTAACACTATACACAAACGTAAGAGCTGTCGTCAGAACACTGGTTTCATAAACTCAGATGCTTCAGATCAATTGAACAATGTTTATGATATTTGGCTGAAGTTCTCAGTTGCACTCTAGACTTCCTATTTATTTTAGCTTGTGGGCAACCTTTGCTATTCATAAATACAACAAAACCCACCTACTTCAAGCTAGGGAACATCCCCAAGCATGCTAATATTTTATTGATTTCAGAATTTCATGCACTCAGACAGAGGCTTCAGGGGAGAAAGAAATAGTGGAAGGTAGTCTAATAAGTTTAACTGCAATTATTTTTTGATGACTCCATAGTATATCCTTAAAACACTGGGAATGTGAAAAATAAATAATAAAAAAATCATTCAGACTATCATTTTACTGCTAAAACTACATTGATCATTGTAGCTATTCTTATCTAGAAGAGAAGACACAGTATCACTGGATCACACAGTAAGTCTATACCAGTTGCAAAGACTAGACAAATACCGTAGGAGAGGGCACAACACACAGTGATTCCAACACTTGCATCACTTTCCAGTCACACTAACACAAAGAACTGGTGAAACATCAAATAACTCCTACTGATAAGGATAAGCTCAAACAATTCAGTGTGCCTTGACTAAAATTTGGGAAGAATTACTCTCTAACTTTAGCAGGTGTTCTAAAATGAAAAGCAATGATGTCTCAACAGTGCATTATATCACACAGATGTTGAGATATGTCACACCATTGTCTCTAAGCATGAAGTATAATTCAGAGGACCAAGGAGTTTAGACTACTTATTTTCCTCCTAACTGACAGAAAAAAGCTTAGATCAAGATGCCATTGGCAAAGTCTGCAAAGGCTCAGAGTTTCTACTCAACATCCCCTGGAAGGCAAAAGCCAACTTCTTCAGCTTGTTGGCCTAGCGACCAACTCTTTTGTTGTAAAAAGAAGGTGTGCCTGAGATTTCCAGTTCTAGAAAACATTTTCAATACACAGTGTAGACTTGGGTCACCATACTCACTGCATTTTTCATGATGTATTCTGAGGTTATAGTCTCAACTTCTTCCACCGTGTAAGATGACACATTGAGTCCAGCAGGCTGGGATTCATTAATCATCAACAATTGGTAATACTCCTCATTGGCTAGATAAGAACATTAAACAACTTATATTCAGAATTAAAAATCTCATCAACAAACATCCAGCCTGGAAGCAGCGAATGGCCAAAATCTTTTTTTTGGCATAAGAACAGAACGGGTAGTTGGGAAATCTAGGTACTACACCAAATTAGTTTTTCCTCAGTAAAGCTTCCTCATCAATAACCCAAATAAATTTACCCATCTTAATATACCCATATATGCATGATCATATATTTTGGTCTGTTTGGCAGTTCAAATAGTATGAAATTATAAGTGGTTTTCAAAATAATTTTCTAACTCAAGAAAGTATCAGTAAAACATCAAACATCTAGAGAGCTGCTTTGACTCCCAAATGAGCACAGGTTAACAGAGCCAACAAACGGGAACACCATGAAAACATCTGTTTAGATGATCTTAAGAGATTCAAATATAATAAACATAATGACAATCACACTTAAATTCCTATTTTAAATGTTTAATTTTATCCAAGTTGGCATTATCTAGGTAGTAGAATACTTGATTACCTTTAACTTGTTTAATGCTTTTAAGGGCGTATTTCAAAGTTGTTAGGACACTAGATTTGCCTTTAATTCTCTTTTCAGAGGGAAGGTGAGCTTTCAGCTCTTGTAATGTTTTCAGCAATTCCTTTTGTGTTTTGGCTTTAGTGGACTGCTCACTACTGCAAGATTAAAGACAAAAAATAAAATGTCACTTGAATGCTTGAAGTTACACACCATCCTCAGAGAAACCCAAATTACTTGGACACTTTTCGCGTACCTAAATTTGTACAGCCAGCCACATTAACTTTTCCAGTACTTAGTATCAACATTCAGAACTTACAATAATTCTTAAATTATCTAGAATCATTTAAAATGAAAGATTTACCACCACCTGAAGTCTTATTGTAAAATGTACTCTGTATGTGCAATAGTACATATACCCAAGCACCAGAGAACTTTTTTTTTTTTTTTTGCCAGTCTCCCTCCTCCCTTTTTAGTGGTATTTTCCTTAGTTCCTTTCAAATTCAAACTCATAGAAATGTTCATGGACTTCAAAGGAGAGAAGCAGGAGGTCCATTCAAGTCTTCACCTCCTGTTCGAGCAGGTTCTCATAAGAAAGGTCCCTGAAAAGGGAATGGCAGTGGGAGAGCATCAAGTTAACAAAACAAATGGAGAAATCCTTGGAACAACGTATCCCAGATAAGCATGGCAATACATTAAATAAGATAAGGAAACTTGACTAAATACGTAGGGTAAAGAATCAGAGGAGACTGGAGACAGAAATTGCATTCACATTTCTCAGGTGCACGTTCAGAAGCACTGTCTCAGTGTAGAAGGTCAAACTACAGAGATTATCAGTGCCAACGTCAGAAAATTATCGCCTGCCTTTGCAGTTCCTGATATCTCTCCCCATTATTAAGAGCTGCTGACAAAATCAAAAAGGAAGATAAAAGGAGGGAAGGGAAGGGAGGGGGAGAATGACAGAGATGGGTGGCAGGTGGGTGCAAAGCAGTTAGAATGAAAAAAATCACCTTGTCTTTCTCATTGGAGTAGATTTTAAAAGCTAATCAGTCACAACAATCAAGAAGATTCTAGAGCTTTTCTTAAACCTTCCTGAAAATAAATTCTTTCCCATCAAAAGGAAGGTTCTTCTCTTACCACCTGATTGTCATAGCTGGTAGTCTCTAAGTACCTAAGAACCACTGTAGAAACAATAGTCTTGACAACTGCACTGCCCTGTGTGAAGAGCTCAATAAAGTGGCTTCAGCTTCCAGGTAATTTTCAAGAGGATTTCTGAACATTTTTCTGGGAAGTTTGAAAGGTTCTTCAGGTAGATCAATCATCTGACGGGTGTTGGGTGTATTTCACAAAAAATACTTGGAAAGTGACAAAGCTGGCTTCTACTAGGGAATACACATTGTTCTTGCTTACATCACAATGTACTATGAGAAACATAGCATTCACTTAATCAGTAGTCATTTTGTACAGAGAAATAATGGCAAGGGATAAGACAAAAGAGTATAGTACTCCCTTGGGAAACATTATGTTCATGCTGTATATTAAAATCACATCTACAACATGGCTTGACAGTTTGGACCAATGCAGTCAACAGGGCCTTGTTAATAGAAGAACCCTCTAGGCTGGCAGTAGAGAAGAAGAGAGAGGGAAAAGATTATGAACCGAGCACACTGCTGGTGTTGTACTCTCCGAGTATGCTTCATGAGAGTGGTCAGACTCTTGCAAGAAAAGAAACTTTTCCAAATTAGCCTATAGCAGCAGCAAATATTTTCCAAGGAGGCCCATCTTCTATAAGTTTTACAACTCAAAAATGTTTTTCCAAAAATAAGTAGTACCAGGCACAGTAGCCAACCACAGGGAAGTTGTGACTTGCAGAGGACAGAATAAGCAAGTTCTGTAAAGACAGAGGCTTCTTCTTTTGCTTTATGTGAACAGTGAACTGGAAAGGTACCTAGAGATATTAAACTAAGTAGTTGGCTGGTGCCGATATTGAATCCAAAGCCCAGTAGTCTTTGAATCAAAGACTAAACCTATAGCTTATCAGCCTATTTTAGTCCTCTCGTTAAAGATCATTCCCTAGACATCCTCAGTCTCCCATTCTTAAAAGATGATCAGATTCTGCTCGGTAACCCTCTATAGCACTATGCTTGACAGCTGGGGAAAACACTGTACCATCTGGATTGCTATTTGTTTCTGAGCAGAGAGCTATTAATGAAATTTAAAATAAGGAGGTATCAGAAAAACTATGAAAAGTAACCCCCCAAAAAATCTTGCAGTGAATAAAATGGAATCAATGGGAAAGGCAGATTAAGAAATGCCTTTGCTTCACTCTGTCTTTTATATTAAGCAACATGAACTCCAGAACACAATTTCCAATTGAAAATACAGCATGGAACAAGATCTCAAGTGCCTGCAAGACAGACACAGAAAATAAATTCAAGCACCAAATGGTGCAAAGGGGTGATTTTAATTTAACTCTTCTCTAGGAAGTGCATCAGGTAGAAACACTTTCAGGTAGGTACATGTAAATAAGGGTCTTAACATCAGTATGCTATAGCTAGATATCCTTGATCTGCTCAGGATCAGGTTTGGTCTCCTGATCAAAAGCTGACTTAGAAGACCCAACAAGTACAGTAGGGCACTCTGAAGTGTCCATATTTGAGCCTTCAAATCACCAGGTTTCTCAAGGCTATCAGGGTCAGAAGTAGAGTTCATACAGAGGGATTCCTGCAGCTGATGTTGGTTTGTCCTTACAGACTTGAGGCTTGAATCCTGGCGAATGGAACACAGAAGAGGCAGATGATATGGCTGCTGGACATCAGAACACATCCAACTCAATGGGTGAATTCTGATGTTAAAACACTACTAGGCTGTCCCCAGGCAAAGGTTTCAGACTAAGTTCTGAAGAGCAGAAAATTTAAAGAAAAGCTTCAAAAACCTCTATGGCTGAAGCAATATTCAAAGTGAACCACAAAAATAAAATTAGAGAGTTAAGCTACCAAATTAAAACAAAGTAAGATGACTTGAAAGATTATCATACAACTTGCATGGAACAGCAACAAAAAGCTCTAATTCAACCAAGTGGTTAATAGGACATGCTACTGATTATGGACAGGAAGAGAATCAAAGATAGGATTTCTTGTGTACTCCTCCAGGTATAGCCAAAACAAAAACCCAAACCACAACACTATTTAGTTTTCAGCATTTAGCATTACATACATGCAAATTACTGAGCATATATGCACATTAAGTTTACCTGCATCCACTGCTAGACTGATTGTGTTCAGAGTTTGCAATCATCAGACTAAATGCATTTGAGCTTGAACTAGAATAAGGAAAGATTGAAAGAGATTAATATTAGTAAACCTAATAAATAACTTTTAGTTCATTTTAGTTTTCTATTTTCCTATTAATGACTGGCTATCTATAAAAAAGAAAAAAGAAAAAAACAACTTTAAAAGCTTCTGCCTGGTACAACAAATGGAAACTATAGCTCCGTTATGAATTTGTCTAAGAAGGTTCTTCTTCCTGTAGCTTTGCTCTGTACACTAAGCTATTATTTAAAAGATGAAAATAACACAGTTGCATCCTTACACATAAGAACAGTTGGCCACTTTTTGATATACAGTTATAGAAGTTGGTTTACAACTACATATATATATATATATGAAAGGCCAAAAACACAATTATGAGAAGAAAGATTCAAATGAAGCTGGACCCACGGAACACTAGAGACCTTCTCTTTATGAGTTATAATATATTACACAATTTACATCATACAAGATTACAAGTTAACTAGAACACTAAAGCTTCAATCTGAAGATACACTTTATACCATAGTCATTATTCAGAAATTAGATTCAAATGAAAAAAAAGCCTTTAGTGACAAAAATAAAACTGAAATGTATTTAATATTAGCTACTACCTTTTATGACAATCTGAAGATTCCATAAGCATTGCGGATTCCTTCCCATTTTCATCAGATTCATGGCCATGAGAATCATGCCCACTCGAGTAGTTTTCATTTGTGTCATTTCCACTGAAGTCATTTCCACTGGATCCACTGCTCATTTCAATATCTTCCTGAAGAACTTCATGATGTTGTTCAGGCTTTGCCTGAACTTCTGAATCTTCAGCAATCATCTGGCTATGGTTATTTGCAAGTCCAGAATAATCACTCATTTTCTGTTGCTCTTCTAAAGAGAACGTCGAAGAAATGTTTTCACTGATACCAGGTTGCTGCTCAGGGTTCTGCTCCTCAGTGCTAGAGTAGAACCCCCTAAACTTGATAGAGTCCATGGGACACTCATTAGAAACACTGCCAAGATCAAGAGCAAATCAAGCCATATTCAGAATTTTCTCTCTGTACAAATTCTGTTTGGAAGTACAGACCCACAAATCTGAGGAGGAAGGGAAGGAAGAAAAAACACTTATTTTCTCCTTTGCTGACAAACTGGAATTCTCACTGACTGATGAAATTAAAAGTGACATTCATGGTTAATATATTCAGCATTTGAATAGTGAAAAGTTTAAGTTAAAGATAATCGCAAACTTAATGTTTCATTGTGGAACAGGTATTTATGGTTTTAGTAAAAAACCCCACAAAACCAGGAAGTGGAATAAACATGAAAAACACCTTAAAAATGTATGTATTCACTTGTTTTCTATTCTCCTACTTAATACTTGACAATTTTACTGCCTGGATTTGGACCATAGCTGCTGTTATTTTCAGCGAAACTATTCCCCTGGCTTCTAGTTTACCTTGATAAACAAAAAAGATTCCATTCAGACATCAGAGGATTCCTTACTTGGTTTGAAGCTTGTTTGGGTTTTGTTTGGGGGTTTTTTTCCTAAATACCCAGTCTTGTTTTTTTAAGATCAGTTCTGCCATTTTGACCAATTCTTCATTTATTTCATTGTACAAGAGCCACATTGGTAGGTAGACTGAACATACTGCAGGAACAGGGAAACTAAGTATGCAAACCTGCCTATTTATCAACAACAAAAATTCTAAGACACAAGGAAGTAATTTTATCTACTGATTACTAGTAATTTGAGGGGAAAAATAAATAAAAAATAAAAGTCTGCATTGTTTAGAAAAGTAAGTTTAAAACAAAACAAGAAAATCCCTTCTTTTAAAGCAAATCCTAATGCAGCAGGCTCAAAATCAGAGTATATACAGAAGTAAATTAAGAAGAAACTAATATTGAAGAGCCATCAAAGGAGAAGTACTAGAGAGCAGTTCAACTTTATGAATAAAGATCTTTAATCTGACTCATTTCTATGTCTATTTGAGCAACCCACAGAGACAACAATACTGCAAAGCCATGAACTAAGATTCTCTGAACAGTGTAACTGATCACTGAGGTTGTTTGTAAAACAACAGAACCATGTTTGTTCCTTCCTCTTTGTTCCTTAAAAATATTCAAGATTACAATTGTTGACTAATAAACCTGACTGGAATAACAAAGTCAATGAAAAAAAATCTGCAACTAAGTTTTGCTAGTATTAACCGCAGCAGCTTCCTTCTAAACAAAAAAAAAAAAAAAAAATTAAATTTTTTAGAAAACCTGTAACAGAAAACATTAACTTAATATTAATTTTAAACACACTATGATTCAACTCCCTCCACACACACAAAAAAAAAAAAGCATTGAAACTATTTTCTTACCCTCCTAATTGCTGTTTTTCCAGACATTTTACATTTGAGTTTTTCAGAAGAAAATACTACTCCTCTCCTCGTTTGGCCAAAGTAATATGCAAGATATCTGTTTTCATTTGAAAGAGGAAGTGTAGTTTAAGGACATTCATTTAAGCTAACAGTAATGGTATACAAATAAATAAGTTATTTCTCTTCAAGATTATTCTCTAGTACTTTACTACAGATAATAATAAAAAACCCCTTTAGGTAGAATAAAATATACTGACATTTCACTTTGGCATATATTCACTTCAGGTACTCCAATCCAGACTAAATAGGCATTCTGTTATGCTATTTTATTGGACAGTAGTATACAGGTAGTAAATTATACTTCAGGCCAGAAAAAAACCTGTTAGAACTACTAAGTAAGCCGCTTCTGTCTTAAAAATTACATAACTGGAACATGCAATAAAAGAGTATTTACTCTTAGATGAAACTCTAGTATTATTTCACAATGGCACGTACTCTGGTGGCCAATGATTAACTAGATCAGACAGTTCATCTCTGATTTAATCTCTCTGGTAAATAGAGCTCACATTTTCACTTGCCTTCCTTCGCTAGACATTTTAATGACGTTCTGTCCCTGTATATAGTCCACTTTCACCACACATGCTCCTAATGAGCCTGACCAGTTAGTGGTACCCATGCTACCATCTGCAGTATCATGGCTCATGCTTAAGGATGCAGGACTAGCCACAACTCATTTTGTCTGAGAGGGACTGAAAACGTCAAAGGGCTCAGGAGAGTGAATACAGAAGGTGGTACTGGGAATACCCATATGGACAGTACAAGACTTCAAGTATTGCAGAAATAAGAGCATCTGTATGTTAAATAACTGAACCCAGTCTCAAGAAGCCACTTCTCATGTGTCATCTGTACTATTATTTCTCACAGGACACTGAGGTGGTAAAGTTCTGCAGAGGATTCTGTGAATAAAGGTACTCCAGCAAACTACTGAGCTAGGAACAGGATGTCTTTTTACCTTCTCTGAGAAGGTTAAAAGTAACCTCAGAGGTCATCTATAGCATTTTGTCCCAAAAATTTGCACATCAGAATTACACAAATTAACCTCATTGTGATTAAAATGAAGCTTTTGGAAAAAAAGACAGCCACAACATCACCTGGAAAGGAGTTTAAGAAGTTCCTCATAATATATTCCGTGCCCAAGGTAGCAGTTTACTCCTGTTTTCCTGACCAAATATTGTTTACAAAGAGCTTTAGATACAAGAGAAAAAAAAAAACATACCGCCATATCTGAAAAAATACTACCTGCTAGTAGACTATGGTACATGATTTCTTTAGAGGTAGGGGAAAAAAAGCTCTCAAAAGAACCCCCCAACTTTGGGCTGCTATACTTAAACCCCTTAAAGACGACTCTATAAATCGCTACTTACAGGTTCATAAGCATGAACTGCCAGAAGACAGACTCTTAGTGTAGCCCTAAATTCTCTAATTAGCCCAATATTACAGTAATGCATATATCAGGAAAATTGTGCTATTTATGGGAACAGCAATGATTGTACCACAGCTTTCCTACTATAAATGCAAACATTTTGTATTTCAGTCTTTAAGCGAGAGAAACCTCTTCTCCTGAATTCTGAAGCCAAAGAGTATTATGTATGCTGTAGTATTTTAAGCCTCAAGAGTTGTCCACAAATATTTTTAACAACCTTTCCTTGGAAAATTATTTCTCCGAAGTCTTTTCTGTAATCTTGGGAAGTTTAAGAGTCAATGAAATTGTGCCATAAGTAGCAGGTAGAGTCTTACAGTTTGAAACTCTGAGCTGTTAAACCACTGATGAGTAATTTTTTCCACCTCTGAATATCATCTATTGTCTGATCTCCTCCCCTCTTTCCGTGACACCTAGGCAAGCTTCTGCCAGGTATTTGTAGGAAACTTCAATAGGAATTCCTTAGATGGCCGAGAATCATTCCCAATATATATAAGCTGTCCAACAACTTTTGAAGGATTTCCCTATGTCTCCTTGAACAAGAGTTGACTAATTCAATGACAGTCAAGATTTCAGGGTTTTTAAAATTATTTTTAATTTTAAGCAGTACATTCAAATTAAGAGAATTGACAACAGAAAAGAAATAGGTACTAGCCTATAGGAGATACCATGTGAATTTTCTTCCTCCTGATACCTGGCAGAAATTTGTGTCAGGAAACACTTAAGTTGTGTTGCTTCTGTCTCTAACTAGCAACATGCCAGAGCTTCTGCAGCTTTGCCCACAGTAAGCATCTATGCAGTTCCTACATAACTCCATTACAGTGACTATAATTTGGAGCCCAAGGCCAATGGCACCAGAAACAGCAATGAGTATCCCAGTAATGGAGGAGATACAAGTTTGACCTTTTTAAAGATATATTTCAAGAAGAATTGGCTCAACTCCTTGAGGTAGAATGGTGTTCTTAGGCAGGACTGGAAGATAATGTCACTCAAAGTCAGTCTTGCACAAAATTTCTTCTGTTTCAAAAATCTCAAAAGCCTCAGTGCCAGAGGCACATACCAGAGTAAGGAATACAGGAAGAATAAATAGGAAGGAACAAGAAAACATTATGATAGACTTCCAAGAGCTTCTGGGGAAAGAAGGAAGAGGAGTGTTTCTAAAACAGGAGCTTGTATAATAAATAAAAAAAGCCAACGATAATATACACTAAGTTTGGAGAGATTTTCTAAGAAGAGATTGGAATGACTATGAAAAAAGAACAGACTGGCAATTACTCTACACCGTGCTCTGTGCCTGTAATTTTAGATAAGAGCCAATGCATCTGGCTAGCCTTTACTCTCAGACAAGGAAGACCTTAAGTGGAACATCTGCATGCATATGCAAGCACCATGCAAACACTTCAAGAGCACAGAGGGTCAGTCATCCCAGAGAGATTAATTAATGTTGAAAGTAATCTCAGTCAAAATGACATAATAAGTTGCACATATTCATCCCACTTAATAGGCTTGAATAAATTTCCAATCAATAACCAAACAAGAATGAACAGGTAAAAGCTAGCACGCTTTCCCAGTCTGAGGTTCTCTCCTGTTACCAGTTTGTGGAAGGTAATTGCATGTCATACCAAGATCAGTAAGCAAGTGCAGAGGAGTACATTAAGTAATTTTTTCTTTGCCTGCTCGATCTTTCTAAACTTTTAAGGGAGGTTGTCTATTTTGACCCTGTAAATAAAAACTTCTTTTTAATCTTAAATTGGCACCAGCTAAGCTTGATTTTAAAGCAACTGGCTCACAAAAAAAAAAAAAAATTGTACTCTTCTAGACAGAGCAAAGCTGCCAAAGTCACTCTGGCAAAGACTAGAACTCTTTAAGATCCTGATGCAGTGTATGAAAAAGGCAACGTAATTCCACTGAGCACCAAGGACAAATGTAGGCATTAATATGCCAGGTTAGATGTGCAGAAAACATCTTCTAATTATTCATTAGCTACAGTAGCTTCTTTATCCTGCAGTAAGACAATGGAAACAGCTTGAACTTTATTGTCCCCAGAAAAACACACCAAAATACGTATGGACACACACTTGAAGAAATAATAGGTTTGTGCTTTTGAAAAACCCTCTTAAGAAGGGCTGTAGAACACCAAGGAGTCAAATGGCTGACAGAGTTGGGTTTTTTCAGCCTGGAGGCTCCAGGGATATCTTATAGCAACTTCCAATACCTAAAAGGGCCTACAAGAAAGCTGGAGAGGGACT